CTCTCTCTCTATTTATTTATTTATATATATATATATATATATATAATTATTATTATTTTTTTAATTTAACAAAAGTTTGGGCTCTGTATTTTTAAAAAGCTTTTGAAAGATGTCTAATGTTTACAAAGACTGCATTTATTTGATAAAAAATACAGTAAAATGTAATAATGTGAAATATATTATTACAATTACAATTAAAATAACTTTTCTGTTTGAGTATATTTTAAAATGTATATGTTAAAAATGTAATTTATTCCTGTGATCAAAACTGAATTTTCAGCATCATCACTCCAGTCTTCAGTGTGCTGCTTAATATTTTTGGGGAAAGACATTTTTATAAGTGATAACAACATTATAAATGTCTTTATGGTCACTTTTGATCAATTTAATGCATTCTTGCTGACTAAAAGTATTAATTTAATTTTTTTTAAAAAGTCATTTTACTGAACCCAAACTTTTAAACAGATCGATAGTCCTAAATCATACCTATTTTTGTATCAAGATTTACATTTTAAATTCAAAGGTCTGGTGAGCGATCAGTGTGATCAGTCTGTTATATGACATCTATGCATTCACTCTTTAGATGAAATGTTCCACACTACACAGCTAAACACTGTAAGAATCACATCAATAGCTTCTTTTCTGGCTACTTCTGACCGACATGTAAAGCTTCACATGGATTCGTCTCTTGCCATGTTTTGAGTTATAATTTTTCTGTCTAAGCCTTTACCAACATTTTTCAAATAAGCATCATGTGGCATCAGCTTATCTCTTAACAGCTGCTTGAAAAGCAATTGAGACAAAACTTCAGGAATGTCTTATTTTTAAGGAGGTTCATCAGATTTCATTTCATTTATGAGCATGAGACATTTGTGCTGCTTTCTCCATCATCACGCACAGCTCACACTGATCAACCCACTCTCCTGTCCTGCATCTGACCCCAGTAACAGCCCAACTCTTGCATTAGCCCCAGCTGAGATGCGAGTTGAAGTTGCTGTCTTACTGACACCAGACGAGAGCATGGCAATGTGTGTGTAATAGAAGATAACTGACAAAACAGCAGCTGCATTGCGCTTTTAATTTGACCACCTTCTATCCACCGCCCCTGCTTGATCCTCTTCTGTTCCTCACAGTATGTTGTTCCCATCAATTACCCTCGAGTCTTCCATTCCTCCCTCTTCAGCCTCACACAGCTTCTGCAAACACCGTTGATATTTGTCCAGCGTGTTGCATCCCTTTTCACTGCAGTGCTAATGAAAGGTGGTTTCCTTTCAGCAGCTCTGCTTCAGTCAAAACTCTTCCATTATCAGAGCCAGTGGGAGAGGCGACAAAAACATGTAATACATACGTGAAATATTTATCTATACAGTGTACAATACCAGTTAAAGGTATTTTCCAAATTGTCAGGAAAATTGTAGATACTGATAAATTGTAATTTATCAGTATATCAGTCGATATTGTATATTTAATTTAGCAACTCATTTACACTATTTTTATATGACCTTTGCCGTCATCTAACACTCAAAGTTCATCTTTAAAAACACTAATAATTTAGTAGCACTGTTAAATATATTTAGTAAATCTCAAAATGATGCCTAAATTCACTTGTAGCATTTAAAATGATTTACGTTTATAATAATAATAATAATAATAATCTATTTATTTATATAGCACTTTTCATACATGGAATGCAACTTCACAAGCATAAAACACATTAAGAATTCAATATCAATATAAAATAATCAAAACTCTAAATGGTTCAACTAGTATAAACAAATATGAACAAATATAGAAGAATCAAAACAAAGCAAAAAGTACACACAAATAACAAGTATAAACAAGTGTGTATATATATATAGAGAGAGAGAAAGTGTGTGTGTGTGTTTTATTTTATAGAAAATAGTTTTGAATTTTAATATCTGTCATTTATCGGTTATCTAGCAAGAACATGACAATAATTATTGGTTTATCGAGCAGAATTTTAATATCAGTGCATCTCAAATTTTAGAATAATATAAAGTAGTAAAGCAAAGTTCATATGTAGACACATTAAGTTTGAGGTTGGTAAGATTTTGATGTTTTTGAAAGATATTATGCTTATGGTTACCAAGGCTACATTTATTTGATCAAAAATACAATAAAACAGTAATATTGTGAAATGTTATTAAAATTTGTAATGTTATTACTGTGATGGTAAAGCTGAATTTTCAGCATCATTACTCCAGTCTTCAGTGTCACATGATCCTTCAGAAATCATTCTAATATGCCGAATAATTTCTGATTAAAAAAAATAAATAAATATATATATATATATATTAGAATTTATAAAGTTCAAAAGAACAGCATTTGCAATGGAAATCCTTTGAAACATCATAAATGTCTTTACTACCAGTTTTGATCAATTTAAATTGTCCTTCCTAAATAAAAGTATAAATTTCTTTCCAAAAATTTTTACCAACCTCAAGCTTTTTAACAGTAGTATATGTCTTTGAAACAAATGTAACTTATATTATTTAAATATGAAGTATTTTTTTCCACATTAAGCATCATTCAAAAAAAATATTTTTTTTTTTTTGAATCATGAGAAACAAATACAGCCTAAAGTGGGAAATCGTTTTGACTGGTTTTCCCACTTGGCTACATTTGTATAAATCGATTACAAGAACCAATGGAGGACGGGATACACTAAAACCAACTAATCCAATGATCAGAGCTGAATGTGTCCGTTTGTTTACATTCATAACATTTATCTCCATTGCTTAGTGGAAGAGATGCTTCTGAGGCACAGCTGCTGTGAGAGTAGACTGCACATATTCATTATCCGTTACTTTTCCCTTTCACAGTTGCAATTCTTGCAGCACCAAATGCAACAGCAGCAAATGGGTATGGCAGTGGGGGCGGCAGCACAGGCGGCGCTGCCACGGCAACATTCCGCCAACCAGCCAAAAAGTAAGAGGAAACGCAGCACGCCACAACCCCTCCCCAAATCATGACCTCCAGCCGGACCGCAGCAAACGGCACTGTGCTCGATCGCCAGCATTCTACGGACTGACTGCAGCTTGACCGGACTAAAGTTGTTTTTTTTATGTTCATAGGGGTGCAGGAATTGCCCTCCTGACCTCAGGACAGATGGATAGATACTGCGAGGATTTTTAGAGCAGGGGACCTTAGAGTATTACCGTATTTCTTAAAGAAATACAAGATATTAAATGAGACAATTCTTGTAGGGTTCTCTACGGCATGCTGTCGTTATTCTCCTTCCAAATGGCCCTTTCAACGAGAGCATGTTTGGCTTGAGAGGGTGGACCCTACGCACACTAATAAGGGCCGTACAGATGTGCCTCAATCACCTGTTGCTCAACTTTACCGTTACGAGAACGTCTCTCTACTGCTGGATGTCAGAGTGATAGGCCGCATTGTCCCAGCATGCAATTACATGTGCGGTTTTTATACGGCACATTTTAAAATGGCATTTTGTTATACTGAGGGGGAGTTGATGTATATTCTTATGGAGAAAAAAAATCTAAACCATGTGAATGGACGACATTTCTGAACACGGAGGCAGAATTTTTGTAAATGGTCTTTGTCTGCAGTTTTATTGTGATAAAAAAAGAAAGTATATATTGACAGTGAAAAAATACATCTTTTAGATAAAAATGTCATGACTGTGTGTGTTTATTTCGCTGTCTTCGTGCTCTCAATGACTTTGCCCACCAGTTTGCTGATTTCTTTGTTTCTCGTTATGGCTCGATTTATGCAGTGTTGCAGTTTCTCACCAGATAACGACGTCCCACCTAAAACAAAATGGAACATTTGTTTTTAGATCTACAAAAAATATTCAATCAAATCTGCAGACCACAAAAATACAATCTGTAGATACTCAGGGATGCATAGAAATCACAATTTTTGGATCCAAAACAACTAATTTGTATGATTTGTGTAGATCTAATAGGTTTTTGAAATTTGTAAAGAGCGTTTGACTCTTTTGTAGTGCTGTCAAACGATTAATCGCGATTAATCGCATCCAAAATAAGTTTTTGTTTACATATGTGTGTGTATATAAATACAAACACATGCATGCATATATTTACGAAAAATTTTATGTTTATATATTAAATATATATAATATAAAATATAAGAATATAAATATATAAATGCATATACATGTAAATATTTTCAAAATATATACTGTATGTGTGTGTATTTACGGTATATATACATAAAAAAATATACACAGTACATACATATATTATGTAAACCAAAACTTTTATTTTGGATGCGATTAATCGTTTGACAGCACTACTCTTTTGTCAACAAAAAATAAACTTTAAAGTCTCCCTGTAAATTTCCACCAAAATTAGAGCAAAATAAACCTTAAAGTTTAATGATTTAAAGCAAAGAAATATGCAGAGTGATGTATATTAGTATTGTACTTTTACTGTTATGTAAAATAAAATTATTATTAAATACTACTATTATTATAAAATGTTTATATTATTTTAAAGTGCAATAGTATTAGCAATATATGGTTCTTTATTGTTTTTTAAGATTTATTTTTGGCATTTTTGACTTCATTATGATAAGACAGTGTAGAGAAGAAAGGAAGCGAAGTGGGAGAGAGAGAGAAGGGGGCAGGATTGGCAAAAGTCGAGCTGGAATTCGAACTCGGGACGCCCATAGCACAATGGCACACTACCCACAAGGCTGTCTGCGATGCTGTAAATAACCTGCAATTTGTCACACGTCTTAATGTTCACCTGGTTTGTGGACGGCACAGAGTCGATCCTCCTCGTCTGTTACCACAGTCAGTAACGCCGTTGACAAGCTTTCTTCTTCTGCTGTGGGGTCGACTATGATAATAGAGCTGTATAATGCGAAAATAGAAAAGATTGCGTCTGTGAACTCATTCTTGTAATTTCTACAGAACTCTGTATTGATCTTGAGACCAGTGTTTTCTTTCTAAAGTAAATCGTGTTTTAATGCCAGCCTACACTGCAGTTGTGTAATAGAGAAATAAGTTGTCAATTACTCATCAAACACTGCAAACGATGAACCAACTGGAAGCCGGTTGATCTTCAAGGGCTTCTTCTTCGGGATGTCAACTTCTGCTAAATCTGTCTCTTTGTTTATTGTGACTTCAGGGAGTTGTGCTGAGAAATATGAAACGTGTTTATTAGTCATCCTAACAGCAAGAGGAAATGTTATATTCAGGAGAAGCTCTCACCGTTCTTTAAAGCTGCTAGCAGAACTATGATGCAGGCGTCAAGTAAGTTCCCGTCATAATCCAAACACATAATATCACAGTACAGCACCCAACAAAGCTAGAAAAATCAGTTATAAAAGAAATGCAAAGGATCTGAAAAGCGCAATTTGATGAGAAGTCATAAAATAATATACATCATGTATAAATATATATTTATCTACTATATCTTACCTTAGATTTTTCAATGCACAATTCCTCCATATTTATTAAATCTGAACTAAAAGGCAGAAAAAATAAACAAGTACTAAAACTGGAATTTCATGCCAACATTATTTGCAGTCTTGTTAAAATTTTTTATTTTTTTTTATTTTTGACAAAAAAAAAAATCACTGCTTTAACAGAAAAATGTGAGTGTACCTTTCAATGACGTCTGCGATAAACTGGCTGGCCGCCTGAGCCTGTTCTCCTGGTGGCCCGGGTCTGAATTTAGATGAGCACAGTGGAGGCAGATCTACATTCGGGACTTGGAGAGCAAAGAGGAACTTGAGTTACATTTCATTCAACACCCCAACGTACAGTATTTCTCAAATTTCCAATGATCATTTAAATTTACCCATATATCCTTTATTTGGAGCATCAGATGGTGGCATAGTCAACTCCTGCAAGAAAAAAATTCTGTAACTTCATAATCAACAGCCATACCATTTTTAGGAAAATAAAAATGATTCTTACAGCTTTGATTCCACATATCACTGTGGTGTTTCCAATTTTCACCAGTGCTGATCCATCAGCTGTAGATATAGAGCCTAGAAGGACACATTCATTTCATTATGCCTAATAACATCTCTATATTTGGAAAATTCTGATCACTTTAATTATAATATGCATCCCATACTTACTAATATTTAAGGTTGTGGGTCTGAACTCTCCCAATTCCCTTCCATCTGAACGACAGTTTTCTTTCTATTGAATATTAGATTAAGATAATTAATAACTGAATTATTAGATTGGTGTTGTAACAGAAATCAAAAACTGATCAACTCACCAAAAAGCTCCTGTGATATTCTAGAGGCTCTGCGGTTCTAAAAAAAAATTAATGCCTCATTATTTACATTAGACAATACAACAAAGTCGTTATCTCACTATCCAGAAGACGTTATTATATGAAATAATTCAGAAACAATCTACACGTAATTCATGCTGTGTAGTAGCTCACTCACTTGAAACCAGCCGCCATGATGTTTAGAAGCACCACGTGAAGACTGTAGTGACGTAGAGGTGCGGCTCGCGCGTCCTCCGCTCCAGTGTGAGGCGCTAGTGTCGTTTCTCATCCGGCGCTCCGCCGAGCTGCGTGTTCTTCGCCCGCTGTGATGATGTGGTTTGTGGGGACGACTTCCGCGTAGGTGTTTATCTGTGACGAAGTAAAGTTCGACAGTGGAGATTTAACTATTTTTTCCGTAATTTAGTACGACACCCATTCATATATGTCGCCGGAAGGCTCGTTTTAAGGCTGCTCTGTATGCTTCAGTGGGGGTAGTTTAGCTAACGTTATACACTGGTGACAGCTTCCCTGCAGTGCAATGTTCACTGGAATATGGATGATGGATTTCTCTTTATATGACTTATTGCAGTATTCGCTGACCCTGGCGCTGATCGTCTTACTATTGGTATATTTATATCATTTATCATTAGCATTTTTAATGTTTTCATACATCTTTATATTATAATGTGGAGGTTTTATGAGGCTAGTTTGTTTGCTCTTGTTGATTTTTGTTTTATTTTGTAAAACAAGAACGTAATGAATGAAAGAAAGGTGTTTTTGAAATACTTGTGCATATATATAGTGACACTTTTGTTGAGCTTCACCGATTCATCCAGTTGAACAAGTTAGTTACTCCCTTGTGTCACGCCTGTTCTTGTCTTTAGGTTGTTGTCGTACTACATGTCAGTGCTAACGTGGTCGATCAGACTCGCCATGAGAAGGAGAAACACTTCTTGACTGCAGATGGCAAGGAGGAGTCTTTTCCCAGTCTGATGGACCCTCCATCACTGGAGCTGTCCGTGGTTGTCCCTTCATACAACGAGGAACTCAGATGTGAGTTGTTTTGATGGTGTATGCAATAATATGTATCCATTAATAATTGAATAATTAAAGTCTCTTAAAGGGATAGTTCACCCAAAAATTAAAATTACCCCATGGTTTACTTACCCTCAAACCATCCTAGGTGTATATGACTTTCTTCTTACAGATGAATACAATCTGAGTTATATTTAAAAAATGTCCTGGCTTTTCCAAGCTTTATAATGGCAGTGAATGGTGGTCGAGATTTTGAAGCCCAAAAAAAGTTCATCCATCCATCCATCATAAAAAGTGCTCCACGCGGCTCCGGGGGGCTAATAAAGGCCTTCTGAAGTGATGCGTTTGTCTGAGAAAAATATTCATAATTAAAACTTTATAAACTGTAATCTCTATCTTCCACTAACTGTCGTATGAGCGTTCATGAGAGTCGCGTTTCAGTGGATGATGTAGGACGTAGCGTAAGCTCTGATGAGAAGGGACAAATACAGAAGTGCAGAGGAGAGAGCAAAACAAAACACTGGTCATGAATTCGAAGTACAAAACGAGGATTTGTACAGAAAATGTCAGAGGATTTTGATAATAAGCCTAGAGGAGACTGGTTTTCCTTTGCTGTTCTTGTGAGACTAGCATTTTCTTACCGTTACTCTCTCATGAACGCTCGTACGACAGTTAGCAGTTTTAAATATGAATATTTTTCTTGCACAAATGCATCGCTTCGGTTC